AAAAACCCACAAGGGACCAGGCAAGACCTTCGCCCCCCAGCCACAAGTTCTAAAAGCTAGAAGTATAAGTTTCTGGAGGGTACTTAAATTTGTCTGAGTTGTAGTATAGTCATTTGTATTCCAAATATATGGCCTAGCCAATGTTAAGATGGGGAGTTTGCCTGTGAAACTGCCCATGAAACTATGAACGTAGACAAAGGCATGCCCCAGCCAGAAGGCTACCTGGTCTAGCAGGTGCAGCCGCCTCACGTAGGTCTCCTCGGTGTGCAGGAGCTCCTGGGCGATGTGGAGCAGCTCCTGGGACCTGGAGCGCTGGGGAGAGAAGAGCTAGAGATGAGCTGGGGAAGGTGAGCCTTGGAGAGAAGATCTGACAAGGGCCGCTCTGCACCAGGGAAGACTAGGGGTGCTGTGAGGCCAGAGGAGGCTTCTGGGATTGGAAGGTGCAGAAGATTAACAAGGACATAGAAACTATAAAAAAGAGGAATTTAATATCAGATTTTATCAGGCAGAAGATTCAGCAAACTTGAAGATAGGTCATTTGAAATCATCAAGTCACAGGAGCAAAGAGAAAAAAGAATGAATAAAAACAAAGAGAACCTAAGGAACTTAGGTTCTAACAGAAAGACTAATATATTCATGATGAAAGTCCTAACAGGAGAACAGAGCTCATTCGAGGAAATAATGGCTGAAAACTCCCTAAATCTGAGTAAAGAAATGGACATAAAAATTTGAGAAGCTCAAGAAACTTCAACTAGGTTATATCTAAAATGAATGAGCCCTGGCCAGGTGGTACAATTGGCTGGAGCATCGTCCCGTACACCAAAAAGGTTGCAGGTTTGATCCTCTCTCAGGGTGTGTATGGGAGGCAATTGATCAATGTTTCTCTCTCACATTGCTATTTCTCTCTCTCTTCCTCTCTCTCATTTCCTCTCCTCTAAAACATATAGTTGGGTGAGGATTAAAAAACTAAAACAAAAGAACCACACTGAGATCCATTATCTATATATATAAAAAGCCAATGACCGGAATGCCAGAATGTCCTGAATGACTGGTCACTATGACGCCCACTGTGGCCAGCAAACTGGCCCGATCAGGGGGTGGGGCGGGCGGCCAACCTCTACAGCCCTCCCCCCAGCCGGCCCACCCACAATGGGAGCCCCCCACCACCCCGATCGGCTCGTGGACCATCCCCCCAGCCAGCTCTGTCCCCAATCAGCCCCCCCCACCCCATTGGCCAATTGCCTGTGGCCCTTCCCCCCAGCTGGCCCAGCCCTGATTGCGTCCTGATCGGGGCAGGCTGGCTGGCCAACCTCCCACCAGCTCCTTCTCCCCACAGGCCCATCCCCGATCTGCCCTGATTGGAGTCAGGCTGGCCAGATCCCACCCATGCACAAATTCATGCACTGGGCCTCTAGTCTATATATATATATATATATATATATATATATATATATATATATATATAAACCTAAGCGACCGTTACAACTAGACGACCGGCCGGTAGCTATGACACGCACTGACCACCAGGAGGCAGATACTCAATGCAGAAGCTGACTCCTGGTGGTCAGTGCACTCCCACAGCCAACCTCCCACAGCCGGCCAACCTCCCGCAGTCCCTCCCCCTAGCCGGCCAGCCCTGATTGGCTCATTCATTTTAGATATAACCCAAAGCGAGAGACCCTACCCATGCACGAATTCTTGCACTGGGCCTCTAGTAATAATAATAAAAGAATGAGATGATATACTTAATATGCTAAGAGAAAAAAAACTGTCAACCAAGAATACTGTATTCAGGAAAGCTGCCTTAAAATGAAGAAATTATGACCTTCCCAAATAAACTAAAGATGAAGAGTTCATTACCACTAGAGCTGCTGTACAAGAAATGTTTAACGGAGTCCTTGAAATTGTGAAGATGGTAGAGAGCAACATAAGCTGTACAAAAATATAAGGTTCTCAGTAAAGGTAATGCATGGATAAATATAGTAACATGCACTGTTGTAATTTTGGTACATAAAATTTAAATGATAAGAATATTTTAAAACTATAAACATTTATTAATGAGTATACAATGTATAAATATGTAATTTCTGACATCAATAACAGTGGGGAAGAAGGAGAGCTGTAAAGGAGTAGAATTTTTATATGCAATTCAAGTTATCAGTTCAAAATGAAATGTATAACTTTAATATATTTTATATAATTGCAATAGTAACCATAAAGAAAATAGCTATAAAATGTATACAAAAAGAAATGAGAAGAAATCAAAGCACATAAGGACAAAATTCAGTGAAACAAAGGAAGGCAGTGAGAGAGGGACAAAAAGCAACCATAAGTCCTTTCTTATCAGTAATTACTTGAAAATGGATTATACTCCTAAATCAAAAGACATGATTGGCTGAATGGATTGAAAAAATAGCATCCAGGAAAGATTAAAAATGGCGACAGAGTAAGTAGATGCTGCATGGACACGCTCCAGGACCAAACTGGAATTACAACTAAAATACAGAAAAACTTTCTGAATAATCAACTGGAGACTTGCTGGAGAGAACCCTGATAACTGAGGACCGAAAGTGGAGACCCCATAGAGACTGAAAATTGCTATCCAGGCAGTGTTGCCGGGGGCAGGGGAGGGTGGGGAGTAGGGGGACTGGGGGGGGGGGACAGCTGACCCACCCTATTGGAAAACACCTTGCCCCATGGTGTGGAGGTGCTGAGTCCCATTAAGAGACTAAGAATAACAATTAGCCTCCAGGCAGAAGCAATCACCCAACACTGTTAGGAAAAAAACTCTCTTCACACCTGTGGACAATTGATGGCAGGCTAGTCAAGACTAAATCCAATCAGTCTGCAAACATAAGTGGACACTGGAAGCTTTGAGTCTTTGCCTGATCTAATTAGTCAGAAAGCATTTGACAGTGCCCTGCACTGGAGATTGAGAGGCGTATTAGATCTAACTATTACATAGTCACAAACCCAAACAGGCAGCCAAAAGGAGGATACAAAGAAACAGCCCCAAATGAAATAACAAGAGAATTCTCCAGAAGACAAGATAAATGAAACAGAGATAAGAAATTTTTCTGATGCAGAGTTCAGAATAATGATGGTAAAGATGCTCAACAGCATGAGAAAAGATATAGTAACTATGAAAACACAAATAAAGAATGACATAGCACAAATAAAGAACAAATTGGAAGGAATACACAGCAGATTAGGGGAAGCTGAGGATAGGATCAGTAAAATAGAAGCAGGATCAGTAAAATAGAAGACAGAGTTGAAAAAATCATTTAGAGAACCAAAAAGAAAAAATAATTAAAAAACAGGAGGACAGCCTGAGCCCGTTTGGCTCAGTGGACAAAACAGCCTCTGGACCAAAAGGTCCCAGGTTCAATTCCAGTCAAGGGCATGTAACTCAGTTGCAGGCTCCTCCCCGGCCTGGGCTCTGGTTGGGGCTCATGCAGGAGACAACCAATCAATGTGCTTCTCTCACATCAATATTACTGTCTTTCCCTCTCTCTTACACTCTCTCTAAAAATCAATGGAAAAATATCCTCTGATGAGGATTAAACAAACAAACAAACAAACAAACAAACAGGAGGACAGCTTAAGGGAGCCGTGGGACAATGTGAAATGTAACAATATTCACATAGCAGGTGTGCCAGAAGAGGATGAAATAATGGCAGAAAACTTCCCTCAACTGGTGAAGGAAAAAGTCACACAAATTAGGGCAGCACAGAGTGTCCCAAGCAAGAAGAACCCAAACAGGCCCACACCCAGACACATCATAATTAAAATGCCAAAAATTGAAGACAAAGAGAGTATCTTAAAGGCAGTAAGAGAAAAGCAAACTGTTACCAACAAAGGAGCTCCCATAAGGCTGACACTTGATTTCTCATCAGAAACTCTATAGGCCAGAAGGGAATGGCATGAAGGGCTCAAGATAATGGAAAGCAAAAATCTGAAACCAAAATTACTATATCTATCAAGGCTATCATTCAAAATAGATGGTGATAAAGAGCTTCCCAGACAAAAAAGGCTAAAAGCGTACATCACTACCAAGCCAGCATTACAAGATGTGCTAAAGGGACTGCTGTAATGAGAAGAAGAAACCTAGACATACAGAATTAAAATGGCAATAAGTAAGTACTTATCAATAATAACCTTAAATGTAAATGGATTAAATTCTCCAATCAAAAGGCATAGGGTAGTTGAATGGCTATAAAAACATGACCCAACTATATGCTGTCTACAAGAGATCCACCTTAGAACAAAAGACTCACACAGAATGAGAGTGAAGGGATGGGGAAAAATTCTCCATGCAAATGGAAAAGAAAAAAAAGCTGGGGTAGCAATATTCATATCCATCAAAATAGACTTCAAAATGAAGTCCATCACAAGAGACAACAAAAGTCACTACATAATACTAAAGGGATCAATCCAACAGGAGGATATAACCTTGGTAAACATATATGCACCCAAAATAGGAGTACCTAAATATATAAAAAACTTCTAGAGGACGTTAAGGGAGAGATCAACAACAATACAGTCATAGTAGGGGACGTTAACACCCCACTGACTCCACTGGATAGATCTTCCAGACAAAAACTTAACAAGGAAACAGGGTCCTTAAAGGACACACTGGATCAGGAGGATTTAACTGACATTTATAGGGCTTTTCACCCCAAAGCTGCAGAATACACATTCTTCTCGAGTGCACATGGGTCATTCACAAAGATAGACCACATGTTATGACATAAAACAAGTCTCTACAAGTTCAAGAAGATTGAAATCATATCAAGTATCTTCTCAGATCACAGTAGAATCAAATTAGAAATCAACTACAGTAAAAACACCCAGAAACATTCAAACACATGGAGGCTAAATAGCATGTTATTAAACAATGAATCAGTTACTTATGAGATCAAGAAAGAAATTATAAACTTCCTGGAAACAAATGAACACGCAACCAACAAAAACATCTGGGACACAGAAAAAGCAGTCCTGAGAGGGAAGTACATAGCATTACAGGCATACTTCAAAATCCACGAAAAATTAACAATAAACTATTTAACCCTACTACTTAAAGAGCAGAAAGAGAACAACAAGAAAAGTAGAAGAAAGAAAACATTCAAACATTCAAAAAAGAACTAACACCCATCCTCCTCAAATTATTCCAAAAACTCCAAGAGGATGGAACACTTCCAAGCTCTTTTTTTAAAAAAAATATATTTTATTGATTTTTTTACAGAGAGGAAGGGAGAGAGATAGAGAGTTAGAAACATCGATGAGAGAGAAACATCGATCAGCTGCCTCCTGCACACCCCCTACTGGGGAGGTGCCCGCAACCCAGGTACATGCCCTTGACTGGAATCGAACCTGGGACCCTTGAGTCCGCAGGCCGATGCTCTATCCACTGAGCCAAACCGGTTTCGGCTTCCAAGCTCTTTTTACAAGGCCAGCATTATCCTACTAATTAAAGACACTACAAAAAAAGAGAAGTACAGGCCAATATCCCTGATGAACATAGATGCTAAAATTCTCAACAAAATGCTAGCAAATCTCATCCAGCAATATATTAAAAAGATCATACAACATGATCGAGTGGGATTTATTCCAGGGATGCAAGGATGGTACAATATTCACAAATCAATAAATGTGGTACATCACATAAACAAATTGAAAGACAAAAACCACATGATCATATCAATAGACACAGAAAAAGCATTCAACAAAATCCAACACCCATTTTTTTAATAAAAACTCTCAGCAAAGTGGGAATACAGGGAATATATCGCAACATGATAAAGGCTATATATGACAAACCTACAGCACACAGCCTACTCAACAGGCAAAAACTAAAACCATTTCCCCTAAGAACAGGAACAAGACAGGGATGTCTCATTCAACATAGTACTAGAAGTCCTAGCCACAGCGATCAGACAAGAAGAAGAAATAAAAGGCATCCAGATTGGAAAGTAGGAAGTAAAACTCTCATTATTCGCAGATGGCATATTATACATAGAAAACCCTAAAGACTCCACCAAAAAAAACTACTACATTTAATAAATGAATTTGGCAATGTAGCAGGATACAAAATCAACACCCAAAAATGAATGGCTTTTTTATACACCAATAATGAATTCTCAGAAAGAGAAACTAAACAAACAATCCCATTTGCCATTGCAACCAAAAAATTAAGATACTTAGGTAAAAGACATTCTCAAAAAACTACAGGACGTTGGGGAAAAAAGAGATAGAAGGAGATATAAACAAGTGGAAGAATATTCTGTGTTCATGGATTGGTAGAATCAACATCATTAAAATGTCCATACTACCTAAGGCAATCTATAGATTCAATGCAATCCCTATTAAAATACCAACAGTATATTTCACAGATCTAGAACAAAGACTCCAAAAATTTATATGGAACCAAAAAAGACCCCAAATAGTCACAGCAACCTTGAGAAAGAAGAACAAAATTGGAGGGATCACAATGCCAGATATTAAGTTATACTACAAAGCCACTGTAATCAAAACAGCCTGGTACTGGCACAAGAACAGGCATATAGATCAATGGAATAGAACAGAGAACCCAGAAATCTACCCAAGTCATTATGCTCAATTAATATTTGACAAAGGAGGCAAGAGCATACAATGGAATCAAGACAGTCTCTTCAATAAATGGTGTTGGGAATAATTGGACAGATACATGCAAAAAAATGAAACTAGACCACCAACTTATACCATATACAAAAATAAACTAAAAATGGATAAAAGACTTAAATGTAAGTTGTGAAACCATAAAAATCCTGGAAGAAACCATAGGCAGCAAAATCTCAAACATCTTTTGTAGCAATATGTTTACAGATACATCTCCTAGGACAGCGGTCACCAACCTTTCGGGCCTCACAGACCGCCAGTGGTCCACGGACCACCGGTTGGTGACCACTGTCTTAGGAAAAAAGAAACTAAGGAGAAAATAAATAAATGGGACTACATCAAAATAAAAGGCTTCTGCACAGCAAAAGAAACCATCAACAAAACAAAAAGGGAGCCCACTATATGGAAGAATATATTTGGCAATGATACAGCTGTTAAAGGGTTAATATCCAAAATATATAAGGAACTTATACAACTGAACAATCCAATTAAAAAATGGGCAAAGAACCTAAATAGACACTTCTCCAAAGCGGACATACAAACAGCCAAGAGACATATGAAAACATGCTCAAAGTCACTGAACATCAGAGAGATGCAAACTAAAACAATGAGGTATCACCTCACACCTGTCAGACTGGCTATCATCAACAAACGACAAGTGCTGGCGAGGATGTGGAGAAGAGGGAACCCTAGTGCACTGCTGGTGGGAATGCGGACTGGTGCAGCCACTGTGGAGAACAGTATGGAGTTTCCTCAAAAAGTTAAATTGAAACTGCCATTTGACCCAGTGACCCCACTTCTAGGAATATATCCTAAGAAACCCAAAACACCAATCAGAAGAATGTATGCACCCCTGTGTTCACAGCAGCACAGTTTACAGTAGCTAAGATCTGGAAATAGCCCAAGTGCCCATCAGCAGACGAGTGGATAAAAAGCTGTGGTACATTTATACCATGGAATACTATGCAGCAGTAAAAAAGAGGGATCTCTTACCCTTTGAGACTGCATGGAGGGACCTGGAGAGTATCATGCTAAGTGAAATAGGTCAGTCAGAGAAAGACAAGTATCACATGATCCCACTCATATGTGGAATCTAATGAACAAAATAAAGATGAACAGAGTGGATCCACAGACATGGAAGCATGGAACAGAGTGCAGGATCTCGGAGGGAAGGCAGGTAGGGTGGGGGGTGGGAGGTAATCAACCAAAGAGCTTGTATGCATATATGCATAACCTATGGACCCAGACAATAGGGTGGTGAGGGCCTGAGGCAGGGTGGGAGTGGGCTGGAGGTGGTCAATGGTGGAAAAAGGGGACATATGTTATATTTTCAACAATAAAGATTTAAATATATGTATGTATATATAAACAATAAAATGGCAATCCTATATAATAAAAGGCTAATATGCAAGTTGTCCCCTCGACCAGCCTGCCAACCGCCCGTGGCCCTTCCCCCCGGCCCACCCAGCCCGATCAGCCCCAAGGCGGGCCGGCTGGACGCCCCCTGGTCATGTATTCGTGCACCAGGCCTCTAGTTCCAAATCACTGTGGATGGTGTTAGAAGGGTATGATATTTATAAGGATGATCATTTAATAAATTTTATGTCTAATCACTGGGGTGTAAACATGAAACGAATATAATATTGTATGTCAACCGTAATTAAAAAAAATGATGAATTTTAAAAATAAAATATCTTTGTTAATCACAATAGAATAAAATGAAATCAATAGCCCTGGCTGATGTGGATCAGTGGTTAGAGTGTTGGCCCACCACAGGGTCACATGTTCGATTCCCAGTCAAGGGCACATTCCTGGGTTGTAGTTCGATCCCCAGTCCCAGTCGGGGCACATGTGGGAGGCAACCGATCAATGTTCTCTTTCACATCAATGTCTCTCTCTCTCTCTCTCTCTCTCTCTCTCTCTCTCTCTCTCTCTCTCCCTCCTTTCCACTCTCTCTAAAAAGTCAATGGAAAAAATATCCTCAGGTGAGGATTAACAAACAAACAAAAAATGACAAAGGAAACAAGGAAGTACCTTGAGGAAAGTGGGAGTGAGCACAGCGTCCCCCGTGTGGACGGCCGCCGAGCCGCCGAGAGGCCGCTTGGAGCTGCGAGTGCACACGGAAGAAGGAGAGGTCTCAGCCAACAGCCCGCCCAACACCTCATGAAGCTGGAAGAACGAGAACGAAACCCAAAGCAGCTCCAAAGGAGAGGACAGTAGAGATTAGAGTATAAGTGAAACAGAATAGAAAAACTATGACACAAATCAACACAATTAAGAGTTGTTTTTTTGAAAAGAATCAATTAAATTGACAAACCCTTAGTTAAATTAATTAAGAAGAAAAGAGAAGACTCAAATAACTAATACCAGAAATTGAAAGAGAAAACATGACAATTGATGCCACAGAAATAAAACGGACTATAAGAGAGTACTATGAATAATTGGATACCGTAGAAGAAATGGATAAATTCTTTGAAACACAAAACCTACCAAGACTGAATCACAAAGAAACTGAAAATCTGAACAGACCAGTAATGAGTAAAGAGATTGAATAAGCAATTAGAGACTTTCCAACAGAAAAAACCCAAGTGGCTTCACTAGAGAATTAATAACACTGGAGAACCATTTGTCTCAGATACTTCCAAAAAGTTGAAGAGACACGTCCAAGTTTATTCTGTAAGACAAGCACTACCCTTATACCAAAGCCAGACAAAGATGTCACAAGAAAAGAAAACTATCCGTCATTATCCCTGATGAATATTGATGCAAAAATCCTCAACAAAATATTAGCAAATTGTACTCAGTAGCATATTAAAAGGATCAGCCTGGCCAGTGTGGCTCAATGGTTGACTGTCAACCCATGAACCAGGAGATCACGGTTTGATTCCTGGTTAGGGAACATGCCCAGGTTGTGGGCTCGATCACCAGTGTGGGGCGGGTAGGAGGCAGCCGATTGATGATTCTCTCATTGTTGATGTTTCTATCTGTCTTTTTCTCTCCCTTCCTCTCTGAAATCAGTAAAAACATGTTTTTTAAAAAAATAAAAAATTAAAGGATCATCTACCATGACCAAGTGGAATTTATTTCTGGAATACAAGAATGGTTCACTAGATGAAAGTCAATCAATGTAATACCGAATGAAGGGAAAATTGATACAGAAAAATCATTTGACAAGATGCAATATCATTTTGTGACAAGAACAATCAACAAATTAGGACTAGAAGAAGGAAACTAATTCCACATAATACAGGCCAATCTGACATGGATGTACACCTGGGTGGCCCCCCATGCCAGCACCCCGTCGTCCCCGCTGGGTGGGAACTGGAGGCACAGGGTCCCGGCCCCTGGTCCAGAGCCCCGCCCTGAGGGTTGGGCCCGTGTGCAATAAATGGGCCAACGTGCGACAAATCAGAATCCCACGATGAAGAACGAAGACCCGTTCCCCGCGTGGCCATGTAACATGCCATTTTCATGTCACAGACACAGAGCCCTGCCCTGGGAGCACCGGAGGCTGGGTGGGCAGAGGACCACCCTGAGGCCTGCACTTGCCCAGGACCTGGGACAGGCGGTCAGCTTCCCTGGAGAGGCCCAGGTGGTGGGGCCCACAGTAAACACAGCATTTATTTATTTTTATTTTACGATGTTTTGGCATTTTGGGGCCTTGCTCACCCTGTTTGCTGGTCCCAGCCTCCCCCCATCCCCCCGCCCTCCCCCACCCCCGCTCTAATCACCCTGGGCCGTACCAGACGTCAGGGACAGCTGTGCCTCAGCCTGCTGGGATGACCACCTGGCCAGTCCTAATGTGCTCATTGCCTCACCTGTTCCTTCCCTCAGAAGCCTCTTGCCCTCCCCCATCCCCCTGCCTCCCCCAGTGGCCCTGCAGCTTCCCCTGGGGCCTCTGGGTGGCGCTGTCCTGGGAACTGGGAGTCACACTGTTTCTCAGTGGCTGTCATCTCCTGACCTGTGGCCTCATCACAGCCGGCAGCCCCCAGAGGCGGGCTCTGGGCGGTCAGGCTGGCAGCTGCCCTTGGCCCCAGGCCTGTCTCCTGGTGCTGCCACAGCAGCCAGCACACAGCCAGGGGCCCGGCCTCGCCCGTCAGACACCCCGCTTCTCTAGGGAGCAGCCGCTGGCCCTTCTCCCAGCACGGGGCCTCCCTCGCAGGGTGTCCGCTCTGTTTCTGTCCTTATGCGTCAGAGCCCGGGATGCTAACGGGACGCAGAAGGGCTTTCTGTGAGGCCAGCCCTGGGCTCCCTGCTGTGGACACAGCAGCTCCCCAGGCCGCTGCTCGGTGCTCCACCCGCCCCACCCGCTCCCTTCCTTCCCCACCCCATCCGATGGCCCGTGTCTGTGCCTTCCTCGTGGCCCTGCAGGTGGACAGCAAGCCCAGGGCGCTGGCGGTGGCACTGACATATGCAAGTCACTCCCAGCTGGAGATCACACCTCTGGGTCCCAGCTCAGGAGCGACACTTGCTGGCTGGTGACTGA